GCTACGGGTTTGTGACCGCAACGGGGTTGAGGGCTAGGCCGCGCCAACTGCTACGGCCATCTGCTCGGAGCTTCGGCTCTGCGGCACATTCTACCGTCTTAAGGGAATCAGAGCTGGACTTACACTATTAGACCTTAGCTGCTTGGGCTGTTTAGTGTATTTTTTCATTTATTTTTTGGCAGTAGGTATGTGACTGAAATTTAAAAGGGCCGTGAGTAGACCACGCCGCACTGTCTGGACTTTTTTCTTTCCCCTAGACGTGGTAGTTCCAGTGACCCGCGCTTACTGTTTCCAAGCCTGATTATTTCATACAACTTTGAGTTGTACTTTTTTTTTCTTCTCTATTTGCATGTTGCTGTTCTTTGGGTTTGTTTCTGAAAGTGAAGTCGCTTTTTGGGTCTTAAATAAGTGACGATGTAGTGCATATAACCAGCTGAAATCCCTCCACCTTATAATGCACACATTAGTCTAGTCACTGCTGTGATGCAATATACTCAAAACAAATCTAGCTTCACTTAACATGGAATTAGATCTGTGATTAACCACAGAAACACATTTTCTAACCAAATCATTTGCGGTTTTTGGCTGGAGTTTGTCATCCTGTGTTTATCATAGCTGAAACCTAAAACATTTTTTTTCTTAGAAATCATGGAGACTTCAGAAAGAACAAAAAGGAGGAAAATATTGGCAAAAGTGAAGGAACATTTCCTTGAGCTCGAAAAGGAGTCTATGGCTTTGTTGGCAGATAATTCTGAGAAAATGGATTCCATGGACACTTCTGATGCTTGCGAGGACAATTTATCAGGTACTCATTCAGAAAGAACACAAAGGCAAATATTGGCAAAATTGGAGGAGCATTTTCTTATGCTCAAACAGGACCCAACTGATTTGTTGGCTAATCAGTCAACATCTATGTTAATTCTGAGAACATTGATTCCATGGACACTTTCTAGGATGCCTGCGATGACAATTTATCAAGTAATCATGAAGATGGAAATTCCACTGATGTTTTTTATGACTGTAACATTGAATCATTAGATCATATTAATGAAAATTGGGATTCATATGATATGCCAGATAGTGACTGTGATTTCCATGGAGATGAATATGCCGACATGGTAGATGACGACAATGCTTTAGATGGGCTTGCAGAGTGGGCCACAGAATTCAACATTTCACAAACGGCGCTCTCTGCACTTTTGAAAATCTTGAGCAGAAAGGGCCTTGATGTCCCAATGGATGCCAGAACTCTTATGTCCACTGACAGGTCATGCAAATGACAAATTTGGCTGGGGGATCCTACTATCACTTTGGGATTGAAAATGGTCTTATATCTGAACTAAAATCTTTAGAGCATTTTAAAGCGACTGATACACTCACACTTAGGATTAATATCGATGGAATACCCTTATTCCGCAGCTCTAGTGTGAGTCTGTGGCCTATTCTGGGTAGAATTAAGGAAATTCCAGAGTGTAGTGTGTTTGTAATTGGAGTGTACTCAGGTGCATCCAAACCCACAAACAAAGAGTATTTACAAGGGTTCATAGAAGATTTGAAAACTATTTCTCAGAGGGTTATTGTTTACGGTGGTGTACATTTCATGATAGGAGTACCCCATGCTTTTATTTGTGATGCACCCGCTCGCGCCTTTCTTAAATGCTCCAAAGGTCATACAGGCTATTATGGATGTGAGAGATGCACTCAAAAAGGCCAGCACAAGGATGGAAGGGTGTTTTTTTCCTGAGGTATCAGCTAGGGCTGCAACAACGAATCGATAAAATCGATAAAAATCGACTTTTAAAAGCGNAGGCCCATTTTCTGCAGGATTGTTCTAAACAAGAGAAATGAGAAGAGATAAACACACTAGGATCACTTCTATCACAAATA